TCCTATTTTGGTTTTACAAAAGAGTCTTGTTAAGGTTTTGAAGGATTTCCAGAGTCGCCTCTTAATAAGATGGATGGCACACAAATCTAATAAATAAAGAAGTAAAGAAAAATAAATTTTGGGGGAAAGACCAAATGAAAAAAAATGAAAATAAATCAAACTTGAAGCGCTTCAAGACCAAGATTGCCAAAAGTTGGTTTACAAGGTTATAAGGTTACAATAAATATGTTGCTATCTCTGGTAATTCTGAATGGACTTTTGCTGTTATCAGGACTGCAATGACAACGCTTTATGGATTTGTCCATAGATACAAGGTAGAATATGAGATACAAAATATACATTTGTTGTATATTAAAAGAGAATGATATGAAAACAGATTATGCTTACTGTGATGGAAGGGGAAGTTATTTGTTTATATATTTCTTTTTTCCCTTTATTATCTTTTCTATTTTTCTTTCTTTTCTGCATTTTTTTATTTTTTTTTGTATTTACTCTCTATTTAGTTTGTATTAACTTTTTTTTCTTTTTAATTGTAACCATTAATAAAATTGTTATTAAAAATAAGACTACCAGTGGCAATTTTTTTCTGTTCGATATTTTGGTTTTTTTTTTTTTTTTTTCCCTACAAAACCTGCAGTAGCTCAGGGGAGGACATTTTCTATCCTCAGCTGTTCCAGACAGGAAATCACAGATTGTCTTCACATTGCTTTTGAGAGTTTGGGAACCAAGAACTATGCAGGTGTTGAAGGGCCCTTAGGCTCCATCATGCTAACCACTGAGAAATCCAATAATAGTGCTTCAGAGTTTTGCAGCAACCCCAGGAAGCAAGTCACTAATACAAGAACAAATCTTTCCTTAGACTTCAAGGATTAGAGATAATACATAAGCAATCATATAGAAATATGCAAGAGGAACCCACAATAAAAGACCCAATGCCCACAACCACAAAGGAGCTGAAGGATTTGGACTACAGCGTTTCATCTAATGCTTGCCTTGTTGTAATCCACTTTATTTTTCAGAACTGAACACAAGCACGACAGGCAACTTACATCATGGCACAAGGTTGGTTTTTCAAAGAGAAAAAGCCAAAACACTGCAGAGCACACATTCAAGCAATTGCTTTGAAAACAACTGCCCACTTCAAAGGGTTTATTTCTGCACTTGACATACAAGATCTTTGAGTTTCCAACCCAGTGATTTAATTTATATGAAGATTAGTTGTACTCAGCTTTGTGTTTCTTACCCTGACTGACAGACATTCACCCAAAGTAAATCTTTGAGTGAATGCAGAGACTATGGGTGGTTGAACTATAAAAGTTAGTCTTCATATTTGCTCTAGGAAAAGAAATTTAGAAGACAGTGAGGGGAAAGAAAGCAAGCAGTGCCCAATTCGTGGCACAATCTGGGAGGCAACTAGCAACTGAAAAGCTGACAGATTTTATTTTCCCTGCAAGTTTGTTCAGTCACCTGCTACAGGTAGAATAGGAAATACCATTTCACCTCTATTTTTCTTAGGAAATAACATCATTTTACTATATACAACATCGCATTCTTAAAGAAATAACAGAAATCATACTGATTGCCAAGGGAGATTGTTAATTTTCCCCCTTTTGGGGGGGGGGGGGCATTGAAACTGAGGCTGGAGAGCTCTCTGTTGGAGGTGCTTTAATGGATTCCTGATCAATGCAGGGTGTTGAAGTCAAAATCATTCTCATTTTATCATTCAGTTCTTTGAATTTAATCCCAAATGCTGAACAGGAAGGGAGCATCTCAGGCAGTTGTCTAACCTTGGCAACTTTAAGACCTATGGACTTCTACTTTCAGAATTCCCCAGCCAGCCATGGGGAAGCCATGGCCAAGGTTGGACACCTCTGATCTAAGGTATCGATCTCCTGCTCAATGCAGAAATCCAAATTAAAGATCCCCAGACCAAAAGCGTATTCAATTCTCCTATCTTAAACATATCCATGGAAAGCAAGACCATCATCTCTAGATGAGTGGTTCCTCGGTTGAATTGCTTTTATAGTTGGGTTATTTTTGTCTAACATGGAATCAAAATCCACCTTTGTCCAATTTAAATCCACTGTTGTCTGTCCGGAGCTCTCCTATAAGTTAGAACAATTCCTTTTTTCTTTTATATGCTCTGATTACTACAGGTGTTCCTTCTTTCCAGCTGCCTTTTCTCAAGCATTGCAGGCTCTGTGAATCACTCTTTCGAGGGCTAAATTTCAAGATCTCTGATTATGCCCGCTGCCCTTCCCAGAACAGGTTCCCATTTCTCTGGATCCCCTCTAAAGTGCCTTTTGAATTTTGTTTAGCAAATTAAGTTTGAATTTCATTCCTAACTTTGAAAACATTAGCTACTCTATTCAATTGTGTCATGTGTCAACTGCATGCTTACTGTAAAATATGAGAGCTGCAATCCAATTCATCTTGGGGAAAAGCTGTTCTATATATACACAAATGAGCTGAGAACCCATTGTTCAGCAAACAAGCTTTATTATAACAAACCTCAGGATAATTTCTCAATTTTATTAATGACTTGATTGCAGTCAGTGCCATTAACCAATGTGGAGCAGGCAGGGGAAAGAAGAGATGTGCTGATATGCAGTCCCGTGCGTTCTTTTTGATATAAAACAGTATTTGCCTAGAAGTGATTGCCAAAGAAATAACATTAAAAAGTAGGCAACGTATTGGCTTATCGTTTCCAAGGAAATTATACTTTTTAAGGGAACATGATTCTGCAATCATGAGCAAACGTTAATCTTCTTCACTTTAATTCGAAATTAATCTATATACTGCAAAGATTAACTGAAAAATCAATACATTTTGTCATTCAGAACAAACCCTAATGAGCATTGAATAAGAATTATCTCCTAATAAAACAACCTGCCTCCTAAGATCTCACTTTCATGACCAGTGGTCCCCAAGTGGCCTCTTTATCTCCTTCAAACTACAGTGTAATCAAATTAGCTCTTGTGCTTTTATTATTCTAGCAATATTTTTCATAAAAATAGTTTTGCTAGATCATATATATAAAGAAGCAAGAAAATTATACTGCTGATTTTTTAAAGAACTAATCATTCGAAAATATTTGTGGCAACTATAACACAATAGTAGTTTGTTACATAGGTTTTATTTTCTCAAGGACATCATCTGTAGTGTTTAACCTTTCTATTTATTAAGAAATAGCAGACTCCTAATTAGGATTAGAATCAGGTGCTGTTTCCTTCCTGACCTTGACCATTACAGACATTCAGATATGTATCCATATGCAGACATTTAAAAACCAGTCATAAACTTCCAATTGGCAATCATTTTTTTCTTCTTATACATTTTTACACATGGGAAGTTTCAATTTTCCTTTGTCACATGCTACAATCCTAACTCAGACCCTAACTCTTATCAGTAATTACAAGGTAGAGGGATATGCCACCTTCACATTACACATGTACCCTATTTTCCCCAAAATAAGACATTCCCTGATAATAATCGGACTTTTGACCACATGGTGATAAGGCCAAGTGCTTATTTCAGGGTTCAAAAAAATATAAGACAGGATCTTATTTTCAGGGAAACATGGTAGTTTGTCCTTAAGACCTAAAACATTACTGAAAAATAGTCTGGAGAAAGTAGAAAGTCATTAAATATAAGGCCAATTTCCAAGCTGACATCTCTACTAGTAGAGTATCAATGTCGTACCATATGTTGAAGACATCCTTTATCAATGAAGTTGGCATTCAACCATTCCCATATTCAGCAAAACCATTTCAGTTCATTGACTGTATATCAACAGTAATATCCCTGCCATGCAAGTATGATGACAAAACAATCAGTACTATGCAATACACCTAACAAAGAATCCTCTGTTTGAGGAAATGCATTTTATGATCAAAAGACACATATTTAGCATTCTTTGACATGCTATCCCCATTGACTTGTAAAACAGATTATTTGAATGCTTTAGTTTTCTTGTAACTTATTCCTTTTTACTTACTCTTTTCATGTATTCAAATTATGTTTATACTTTTACCTGTTATCTTATATATGCTTGGCAAAATAAACTTGTGATTATGATTATGAACTTGCCATGCCTACCATCATAAATTATCATGTGTACCATTATAAAATTCTGAAGGTTTAGATCATTACAATTTTTTTCCCAATTAAAATAACAACTTAGGAATTCCAGATACTTCTGATGCATCTGATCCAAATTCTGTAGTCAATTTAGAAGGCTGGTTAAAAATAAGATGACCTTAACCAGGGAGAATTTACTTGTTATTCTCAATTTCTCTGTTCTGGAGTGTCAATTTTCCGTGAGAATTAAGAGAATTTAATTTCCCATGAGAATTTTTGTTCATTTAAAAACAAGATGAGGATGAGGATGAGAATCGAAACATCTTCAAAGAAAAACCAGAAAGTCCAGTTGCCTCTTGAAAAAGCACATTTGGGACAACGATGACCTTGATGACTGAAAACCTCCATAGACATTTAAAAACAAAAAAAGAAAGCTTCTAACTTGCTTTTTCTTCCTTTCCTCTCTTATCTGACCATTTTGGGGTACAAAAATGGGAGAATATTCTCCAAAATCATAGGCTTTGAACATTTAAATGTCTGCTATGAACTTATAGTCTAGTTATAATAGGGCCAAATCACATGGAATACTAATTATGTAATTAGTTTCTTTTCAGAATGTATTAAAATGTAATTGGATGATGGCAGAACTTGATGGCACATCTTTCTTATGTTTACAGTTATATGGAAGCAAAAGATGGAGGGTTTTGTTTTGTTTTGCTTTTTTAATCACATCCTCTATTAAATGAACAATTATAGATCACAATTCTTAGGAGCTTTAGGAATGAAAAACAACCTAATAAGTTTCTGTGAAATTATGAGTCCCTTGCACAATAGGCCATAGCAGAAACATTATAAAAGAATGAAGCAGTTTTTCAATTTCTAATTTGGGGCGGGGAAAATTTTCTCTTTCCCCTTTACAGAAAATGAACAATCAATATTTTCGCTATGAAGTCCTTGCCTGTGAGACTGGTGAGCTGAAAATCTTCTGGGAAAAGACCATTGAGAAGCAAACTCAACATTCGAAAGCCGAGAAAGACCGTTTACAGAGAAGTGCATTGACCAAGTGAGTGAGTACTTGGCTGACTATTTGTGATTGATTTTGTTTGTAAATCTCACAAACAGTATATGCAGCAAATGTGTGAGAATGAGACCATAACAATTTCTGACTTAGAGAAAAGATAATTCCCTATTCCCCAGAATGGCAATATGGCAGGACATTTTGGGCATAGCAGTGTTCTCCAATGGAGAGGAAGATCTGGACTTCCTTCCTTCCTTCCTTCCTTCCTTCCTTCCTTCCTTCCTTCCTTCCTTCCTTCCTTCCTTCCTCTCTCCCTCCTTCTTTTCTTTCTCCTTTAAGTCACTTTTTGACTCATGGCAACTACCTGGAGTAGTTCCTGCAATTTTCTTGAAATTTTTTTGGAAATAAATTGCCATTGCCTGCTTCCTGGGGCTGAAAGAGAGTGAGTGGCTGAAGAGGTCACCAAATTGACTTCGTGCCTAAAATGGGACTAGAACTCAGTCTTCCAGTTTTTTGCCCAGTGCCTTAATCACTATAACAAACTCCCTTATATTCTATCTAAGGTGATCATACCCAGTTGAGAGAAGCAAGAATTGCTTGGAAAAATGTAGGAGAAATTTTAAAAATCTGCCCAACCTTTCCTGGTTATGGGAAATTAAAAAGAAAGATAGTGCATTGGCCATAGCAAGGTTCCTGCTGGTTAAGCAATGCCTATGCTAACCATCTGCCTTTCTTCCAAACAGACTCAGAAACGAATGGAAAGCAATGCTGGAAAAAAGATTAAAAATGATAAAAGAACATGAAGGAAAGAAAGAAGTCCCTCAATGAAGAAAAAGCACCGGCTTATGTACACTGATTGGAAAATGGCTTAAACTGAAAGAAGAAAATTTGCACTGAGGCAAAGCTGTAGTGTTTGGCTTGCATTTGCTTAAAGCAACTTTCCAAAACTGAATACTCTCCAGAAATTTTGGACCACAACTCCCAGAATTCCCAGTCAACATTATAGTTGTAACACACCTGGAGGACACCAGCCTAGGGGAAGAATGATTTAAGAACATCCTTGAATTTATGTTAGAAATATATGTAATATTAAATAAGGTTTCTTTCAAGAGGAGTTCAGTATCTAATGATCTCATGTACATGTTCATTCAATTTTATTGGAAACAATACAGACATTGTTTGTACTTTTCCTAAGATTTTCTCCTGACTCCCCAGTCTAGGCAGCAGTCCTGGAATGCCCTAATATGAGAGAGAGAGGGTAGGTAGGTAGGTAGGTAGGTAGGTAGGTAGGTAGGTAGGTAGGTAGGTAGATAGATAGATAGATAGATAGATAGATAGATAGATAGATAGACAGACAGACAGACAGACAGACAGACAGACAGACAGACAGACAGACAGACAGACAGACAGACAGACAATAAATAGGCAGGCAGGCAGGCAGGCAGGCAGGCATATTACAGTTTGAGTTGCTCTTCACTAAAATACTTTTCTGATTTTTTCTTATTCACCACTTTTTTAGAGTCTAGTGTACTGTTTTAACTTTCAGAATTATACATTTCTGTTATCAATTTATAATTTTGTATATTGTCCTAGAAGACCTTCAGACTGAAAGGCAATTGATCAATATTATTGAAACATAATGTTTGCTTTTGGAACATTAAATATGTCAGCCAAGCTATAAGTAACTGCAAATGCATGAAAGCTGTCCCTTGGGAGATAACCCCGAGCCAGAGGGTCTTCTGTTCTCCCAGTTCTTTATTCTTAGAAGGGAAGTATGTCCTCAAACCTCTTGCAAGCATTACTATTTTGACATTGGGGGATATCACCATCTGAGTATCAAGAGGTGCCACAGAAGTAAGTAAATCCAGTCTTCCTGGACTCTAGGTATGCCAGCTATCCACTAAGACTAATAAATTCCTTAAATCAATTTCAATGCAAAGCTATCTATAAAATAAACTATCTCCAGGAGCAAAACAAAAAATTAGGAAATGCCATTCCTCGGTTTCTCCCATATTGCTAAATTCATGGTGGGATGATTGGAGAGTTAAGAAGGTTCTATAAAACTGCAACCTTTCACATAATTATCTTGGGAGAAGCCAGCAACATTATTTCCATGTAGAATTGCACTATAACTAAATCAAACCCCACGCTTTCACATATTGCAAAAATTATCTGTTGTTGCAAAAGATAAGCTGGTGGCCTGTTCCATTCCATTCCATTTACAGAGTTCAGTGTTATTTTAACACTCACATGGGATGCAATTTTCCATTATTTTCCATTATTTCTACAAGTACAGATAGTCCTTGACTTACAACCATTCGTCTAGTGAGTGTTCAAAGTTACAATGACGTTGAAAAAGTGACTTACAACTAGTCCTTGCACTTACGGTGCAGCATTCCTAGGGTCATATGATCAAAATTCAGGCTCTTGGAAAAATGGCCTGATTTTATGATGGTTGCATCATCCTGGATACCCAATTGTGACCTTCCCAGCTGGCTTCTGACAAGCAAAGTCAATGGAGAAAGCCAGATTCGCTTAATGACTACATGATTCACTTAGTATCTGCACCGATTCATTTAACAACCATGGCAAAAAAAAGATTATAAAATCAGTTGTGACTCCCTTAACAACTGCCCTGCTTAGGTCCAATTTGTGGTTGTAAGTCGAGCACTACCTGTATCTAGCTATTTTTAGTAACCTAGGAATAACCAGAAGCTTCGGGATAATAGATGAGTGGATGCCACTGCTGTGAGACTGGGCACAATTGCATGAACATGTCCTATATAGGAAATATTTTATTTAAACGTTACAATATAAAAAAAGAAAAATGATTGCATGCTCATAAAACACAGATTTTTGAAAATATGCCAATTTGGGGGGTTTCCCAAAATTTCCTGATGCAACTGGTTTCATTATAGGCAACTTTTATATCCGAATTAACATTCTAGGTTTCTGGGAGGGGAGGGAGAAATATGTAAATACAGAAATGTTATAAAATAAATTTGTCCTTAAAATAACTGACTTATGATATTACTAGCAGTCCATATTCTGAAATGATTATTTATTCTGGTTACTATTGTGCCACACAATGTTAAATATTTGCAGATCAGTGGGAAATATGATCCTTGTGATATACATCTTTGAATGTTCTTTTCATTTTGCTGATTCAAACTGAAACAAGGAGACCATGATTCCTAGATCAATAAGGGTATATGGAGTAGTGGGCTGCTGCTAGTTCTGACCGGTTCAAGCAAATCGGCAGTTCCGACTGGTGGGTGGCCTGCCCACTTGCCCCAGTGCTATTTTGTCTTATATCGCTGTGTTGTGCGCATGCGCTCACGTTTCCGGTGCTGGATGAACCAGTTTTACATTATGTGACGCCAACCTCTGGATATATGTCCTGTGCCAGGTTTATAGGATAGCAAAACTCAAAAGCAAATTTGGCTATGGAACATATTACTTCTCCTTCCAAGTGGTTCTAATACTTTCTCACTCCAACCTCGCTTAAAAAAATTATAAACCACATATTCCACATAGAATTCACATATTACATGAAAGAACAGAAATGAAACACTATATTCAGGCCTTTAAATTAAATTGTGCTTTTCTCTGTAACAAGGCATTCTCTATAGACTTATTCATACAACGTTTCATAGCCAAAGGCATTAGCTACTGTAAATAAATACTGTGAAGCCAAGTTACTGTCTCAGATCTTTGATGCCTTGTGATAGTTTTACTGTCTTTTTAAAAAACATGCTTTGTATGCATAAGAAAATCAAGAGAAGAGAGAATGGATAAAGACAGAGAGATAGGAAACATTTTGTTTAAGGTAAATTTTTAAATGATTCACACAGAGGTATGGAAACAATATTATCAGCTGTTCTCGGTGTATTATTAGAGGGTTGTTCTCATTTCTGACATAATTAATAAAATCAACTGAATTTGGTCGTACAGTATTAGAGAGTATGTGCCAGCTTTTTCCAGTTTTGTGCTTTCCTGATTACCAAATCCCAGAATCGCAAGCCTGGAGACAGAAAACTCCTTATATCGAAGTGGAGTTTGAGGGGTGATATAAGAGCAGTCACTATCTCCCAGCCTAAAAGACTTCATAAAATGGTTACAGCAGTGGTGGAATTCAATTTTTTTTACTACTGGCTCTGTGGGCGTGGCTTGGTGGGCATGGCAGGGGAAGGATACAGCAAAATCTCCATTCCCACCCCACTCTGGGGCCAGCCAGAGGTGGTATTTGCCGGTTCTCTGAACTACTCAAAATTTCCACTACCGGTTCTCCAGAACCTGTCAGAACCTGTTGAATAGCACCCCTGGGTTACAGGCTCAATTTGTTTTTTCTCATGTTCTTCTGACACTGCCTTAATCTTATCCCCAGTCACTTTTAGACAACTGGTTTTAATGTTTTTCACTACTTCCAGAATAATTGCCAATGGGTATATGCAGGATATTTCATCAATAGTGTAGTTGGTTATACAACCAGGAGTAAGGATTTATTCAAGATCTGTAAGCCACCATTAGCAAGATTTCTCTCCTCCTGACTCTGCATACTGTTCACCATGGCCATTTTAGCATCTATCAGATGTTTGGCTTTGCAAAGTTATCTACCACATAGTGTTTGGCTGCCACTTTCCAAAATATTTGTCAGGTCTTACATGAACTCTGTATATACATGGATGTCTCCTCTTCAGAGAAAAAAAGAACACAAGGCCTAAAAGAGGCCTTGCATAAGTCTTCAGCTGCAAAGATGTTCAATGGAAAGAGAGGTAGCTCTGCCCATCTTTGGCTACTGGTTCTGATACCAGTGAGTGTGTACTGAGTTTTCTTTGGCTTTTACTGTAAGAGAATTTGTGTGGCAGCCTTCTTACAGTTTTATTTCTTTGAGGCCGATAGCATTTTGCCACCTCTCAGAATATCACATGTGCTGCTGGCTGTGACTATTTATTCACAATAGTGCCATTTCTTTTCCAGAACTAGTTGAGGACATAGCTGGTTCATCATGGATCAATCCCTCCCAATTCATCCTCACCTATCCACACCTGTGAGCTGCCAGTCAAACAATTTTTTAAACTTTGGTTTAGCACTTCTTTGGAAAAGCACTAAATCAGTGTTTGGAAAGAGTCTGAACTAACAGGTAACATGCATGGAACACCTCCATGTCTTCAATCTGTTAAATGTCTATGGAGATTCTCAGTCATCCAGGTCATGGTTGTCCCCAAAATGCTTTTTTCAAGAGGCAACTGGACTTTCTGGTTTTTCTTTGAAGAAATTTCACTTCTCATCCAAGAAGCTTCTTCAGCTCTGACTGGATTTCCATTTCCCACCATCCAGTCAGTGCTGAAGAAGTTTCTTGGATGAGAAGCGAAACATCTTCAAAGAAAAAACAGAAAGTCCAGTCGCCTCTTGAAAAAAGGACATTTGGGACTTCAATCTGTTAGTCGTGACAGTAAGAGTTGGATAAACTAGCTGTTCTAAGTAGTTGCCTCTGTTCACCTATCTTTGCCCAACCATATGTTAAGGAGAGTGATTGATGGCATTCAGTGGAAAGGGATTAAAAAATTAGGAAAATCTACAATAGCTTTAACTTGTTCCACATTTAAAAAACTAAGAAATAAGAATGCTATCTCTGTTCAGCCTTTTTACAGAGGCAGAATTTTCAGTATCAGTGAGTGAAATGCAGTTGGTGCAGTTTTTCTTTTGCTCATGGTGGAGGGTAGGATTGAAATGAAGTTGTCAGTTTTATTACCTTTATTACCTGTGTTCCTTGGGGAAAAAGCAGGATATAAACCGAATGAAGTATTTATTATTTATTCATGCAAACAAACAAGCTGCTTGTT